GCGGCCAGGCTGCCAGCCCAGGCGGCCACGGAAGCAGGAGCCAGGCCTCTGAGGTCCCAGCAGGGAGACCGAGCCGCGGTATGACATCTCTTCCATCCCGGGGCCTCTGCAAGGCACTGAGCCCCCCAAGTCCCCAGCTAGGTGCGTGTCCGCCCACGTCGCGGCATCCTCAGAGCAGAACTCTGGGGAACAGGGACAGAGCTGCTGCCCGAGGCAGGGGAGGCTAGTGAGGGCCTGGCTCAAGGACCCTGGAGCCCCAGAACCTCAGGACCAGGATAGGAGGCTTGCCCTAACTGGGGGTCCTCCTCTGAGCCTCTGCCACCCTCCCCAGCAGGGAGCTGACCCAACATCAAAAGGGCTCCAAGGCCATGTTCCTGAGTCAGAGGGTGAACCCAGGAAACAGGAAGCTCCACTCCTTGAAGCTGGGAGGGACAGCAGGCATGCAGGGCTCACACCATACAGAAAAATTGCACCAGAGTCTCCAGGATGCCCCAAGATGCCTCCACGGGGGTGGGGTGGGGTGGGGGGTTCAAGGAGGGAGACAAGCCGAGGAGCTCCCTGAGCAGGGCTCTCCCCTGCCTGACTCTGCTGCTCCCCCACCACAGGTGGCCTCGGGTGCATTGCCTGGGTATGCAGGTCTCAGTCCACTGGGTCCATCTGTGTCTGCCGTATGTGAACTGGGCTCAGGCCCCATGGGTCCCTCACTGGGCCCGGGCTGGACCAAGTGTTCTGCAGGGCCTCCTCTGCTGACTCTGAGGGATACTATGAAGGCGCCCCAGTTATCCCAGACCATTCATTGCCTCCCTGTCCCCTGAGCTGCCCTGGACAGACAGCTGCTGGTGCTGTCAGCCTGGACAGAGTCCTTGAGAGCCTTGTGACATAGTGAGTCGGACAGGCCTCTGTCCTTGGGCCGAGATGCAAGACAAGTAGCCATTTAGAAGGAAGGATGTGGTCAGGGGGTAGGGATGAGGGGGTAGGCCACGAGAGAGGGCTCTGGATTCACCCTCCAGGTGAGGCAGCAGAGAGCTGGTGGAGGAGGGGGCCTTTCCGCACTAGGGCCCAGAGGCGGGAGCACCCCGTATCCTGTGCCTTGTCCAAAATTCACTGGGCGTCAGCTGGCAACCCCTGTCCCAGGGTGAGTAAGGAGAGGGAGCCAGCCAAAAATCTGGGAGGGTGCCCTGGAGGGGACCTGGCATGCAGCTGGGGCGGGGTGCCAGCCCCCACGGAGAACTTTGATCAGAGTGAGCGATGGCCTGCAAGTGTGAGCTCTTCAGTTCCTGGAGGGAGGAGCATGGGGGAAGCACGCCCACCCCTCACCCCTGCCTTGTTAGATAGCCCACCCTCAGCACGGGGCTCCAGCAGGCACTGCCCTCACCCCTGCAGCCTGATACCAGCCTGGACGTGGAGAAGGGAGTGTGTGAGCCCGTACCCCAGTCTCCCACGAGGCCTGTGGAATCTCACTCCTGGCAGAGACATGGTAGCATGGTGGGAGTGGGGGGTGGGCTGGCCAGCTCATGCGGAGGGCAAAGGGCCGAGACAGGCTGAGCGAGCAGGAGTGGCTGTTCCTGACCGCAGTGCCTGTGGCCCACCGAGTCCAGCTGGGCCCCCCGGGTGTCCTGGGGTCCACAGGAGGGAGGAAAGAGCTGGTGCAGAGTGGCTGATCCCAACTCCCATGGCCCCGCATGTGTCAGACTGTAACTGCCATCCCAAGGGTTCCGATGGCTGGTTTGGGCAGTAGATCATCACGTCTTTTGTCCAAGGAGTGCTCTGGGTGGATGTCTCAGGCCGGTTGACTGGAGAAACAAATCCAGAGACACTCATGCACAAGGGGGGACCCCCCAAATGGATTTGTTTTCAAAGCTATGTATTTACCGTAATTTTTTTTTATAACGAAACAACCTTATCACCTTCAAAGGACTCTCCATGACAATGCATTTGTCAAACCTGTGATTCCATTCTTGGAAACATTTTTCAGACTCACCTGTTTGGATGGCTGACAGCACCTCCCTCATTTTTTTCTTCACCTCTTCTATGTCATCAAGTTGCTGTCCTTTCATGTCCCTCTGCACTTGCAGGGACAAAAAAAGTCCCACAGAGCGAGGTCAGATGAGTCAGGTATGTGGGGCAAGAGAGGCATGCCGTTGTCTTGCCAAAAACTGACGCACTGAGATGGCTGTGTAAGCAGGTGTATTGTCGTGGTGGCAAAACCAGTCCCTCATCTGCCACAAATCAGGCCTTTTATGTCACACACTGTTATGTCATCTTTTCAGAACCTCTAAATAGAGAGCTTGATTAACAGTCTGACCCGGTGAAACGAGCCCCAAATGCACTACAGGTCGACATTTTCGTCAGTTAGGGAAGTTGACAGACATCCAGAACAAGGTTTGTCATTAATTGACATTTCACTTTTTTTTTTAAATAAGAAAACCACTCATACACTTGAGTTTTTCCCCACAGCACTGTCCTTATAAGCTGTGCTCAACATCACAACAGTTTCTGTGGCATTTTTCCTGAGCAGGAAACAAAATTTCACAGCCACACTCTATTCTTGTAAGTCAGCCATCACAAACGAGGTTCAAGCAAAACTACTTTTATGAAAAAATTCACGGTGACCAGAGAAAACCTTCCCAGGTGATGCCACTGGGTGCACTAACTCAGAGCAATATAATAAGCACTAACTCAGGTGATGCTCACCTAGTGGGAAAAATAAGAAAAATATGTACTGTGAAAGCTCCGCCCAGCAGATCTTTTTCCCTTTTTTAGGGGTGGGGGTACCCCTTCTTATGTATAAGAGAGAGTTTTATATCAAAGAGTTATTATATATTAAAAGAACATCCCAGCCAAGTCCATAAGTCCGATACTAGTCGATAAATCCTTCTATAGACTCATGCAGCACATGCAATGATGCAAAATACAAAAAGATCACAGGCCAGTGGGTGCAGTCTTGTGGATCCAGTAGCGGTGGAAGCATCTCCAGGGCTCTCACACATCTCAGCAAACCTCCGCGTGGCTTGTCATCAGGAAGATCAAGGCAGAGAGCGAGAGGAAGTTTCCAGAACCCGCACGAGAAGGCCATGTCACAAGGACGCATCATCAGGCTGTGACCTGATTGACAGGCTAGACTCCACCCCTCCTCTTATTTATCAAGTTCACATGAAATTACACAACGGCCACAGCACACTTGCATTTTCAACCTGTCGATTAACAACCGAATTAGTCCATCATTGCTCCTACCCCAGGACTCAGACTGGCATTCCATGGGGCCTACGACCGTTTTACAGATGAGGAAACAGAGGCTTGGCGTGGGGACCTCACTTGTCTGAGTTCTAGAGCCCGATCGAATCTGATCTATGGACTGCTCCCCTTGCACTTCCTGAGCAGATGGAAGAGACGCTGCGGGTTCCAGCTTCCACAGGGGAGCTCGCCCACCCCGCGGCTCGCCTTGTGAGCCTATGCACACAGCCAGCAGGACTCCCCGCTCCGTGCGACCACGGCTAATTGGGGTCCCGCTGCCCAACCCAGGGCCAGTTCAGAGCCGCACTTGCAGCTGAGAAAGCCAAGGCAGGTACCCTTCAACCACAGTGAGCAGGGATCGCGGGCAGCTAGGCCGAGAAAGTTAAAATCAGTGTACGTAAAAAGGATGTACCTTTAAAAATATATTAAAAATAAGCTTTCTCTTTGCAAAGCCCAATGGCACTGGTATCCTACTTCCCCTCATGGAAGGAAGGAAGCGGAAGAGGGGAGCATTTTCATGCCCGTGCCCCGATGAGGACACCAGATCAGGCCAGAGCTTCTGCCCCACGTGTCCAGGCCTGGCTTCTTAGACCAGTGGTTTCCATCTGGTCTACCCAGAGCTCCCAGAGCTCCTGAAACATCCAGCAACCATCTCCTGGGCTCTCTCCTCCACATAAAGAGGCAACTGCTCAGCAAAGACCCAAGAAACCAATGCACTGTCCACGTGCTTCCCGGAAGCCTGCCCACCCGCCGTCCATCCCTGTGTGAGAGGGCAGAGGCTGGTGGTCTCAGTACCACTGGCGAGCAAGATGCTCACCCCACGCTGCTGCGGCCATGTTGGTGTGACGGACCTGAAGGCACCCACAGCCTCTCTCCTCCAGCCGCAAGGCACCGGTGCCCTCCTGCAAGCCCATGCCTAGACACAGGCGCTGCGGGAAATCGGCTCCCGAGGGGCTTTCTGAAAGGACAGCGCAGTGTTCTCAGGGGCAGCGGGTCCTAGCAGCTGCAGGGTCTCAGGCCGCAGAGGGGGTGATCTGGGGGAGAGACCAGGGTCTTGTTTCTGGTGGCCCAGCCGGGAAAGGGAGGTGGGGGCTTGGGAAGCGGCAGCCCCTAGGGAGGGCGGCTGGCTGCTGAGTCGTCCCTCCTTTGCCCCGGGTGAAGGTGGATTTAGTGTGACGGTGGTCTCCGAGCCCTGGAGAGGGAGCCCACCCTTGGGAAGTATTGGGAAGGAGGGATCTGCAAGCCTCTGGATGCGCCACGTCAGTGGTGTCTGCATGCAGGCATGCACACGTGTGTGCGCGTGTGTATATGTGCGCGCACGTGCACCACACTTAGGTCAGACCCCAGAGCTGAGCTGGCAGGATTCTAATCCACTCTCCACCCATACCAACCAGGTGCCACGCTCCAGGTGCACCAAGGCCCCACGGCCTCTGTAGGGTGGGGCCAACAGTAGAAGGAGGGGGGTTCTCCAGGTCAAGCCCTTTAGCACAGGGCCATGCTTGGACCACTGGGGTCTGTAGTGGCCAGCCCTTTGAAATTAGCAGCCATTCCCAGAGAGAAGGGGAAGGCGTTCCACTTGCGTGAGCATTCCAGTCTGGGAAACCCACTGGCCCCGGGGACAGCGCGTGGGGGCCCGGCTTGGTGGCGGCAATGGCCCAGCAGGAACGTCAGTGACTGCTCTCCTTCCCCATCAGCCGGAGAACCCAGAAGTGAAGGCCCTGCAGGACAGGCTGGCGGCCACCAACCTGAGGATGGCTGACCTCCGCAACCAGGTGCAGGCTGTGAAGCAGGAGCTCAGGGTGGCCCAGAAGGTACTCCAGGACTGGGCGGGGCCGGGCAGGGACACAGTGGGCTCTGTCCAAGGGCAAAGGTGCGGGTTCAAGAGCGTCCTTTGGCTTGCTCTGCTTCGCCCCACACTCTGGGGCCGGTCAGCTCTTCCCAACACCTCCTAGTGCAGACCTACTTGGTGGGCAGGGTGGGCCGCTTGCCACCAAAGGGCCCCCGAGTACATGACCTGTGTCTCCCCAGCCTTACTCCAGGCAGGGTCTTCTCCACCTTCCCTGTGCTGCCCGCACCCCAGCAGACCCCAGGCCACCTGTAAGAAGACACCTGGGCCTCGGGAGCCCACTGGCACCTGCCTGCTGCCCTCGGCAGTGACATTGGAAGACAAAGAGGTTGTCTATTTATGAAAGGCCCCTTTCCAAGGCAGCCGTGCAGCCCCGGGGGACGCAGGCCCAGCTGGCCGCTTCTGCACCTGTGTTTACCTAGTGAATTCTCTGGCATTTGTCTCCCCTGCTGGAACCTCTCAGGCCGGCCACGGTTCCGTCCCAGACAGTGCTCCATTGTGGGAACAAGCGCCAGAGACTTGGCCCGCGGGATCGGGTGTCCCTGGCGGGCTCCGGGGCCCATGTCACACGCTGAAGCTTCTTGTTTCCGCCTCAAAGCCTGAAGGTAGGACCTGAGGGCTGGCCCCTGGGCAGCCACAGAGCTGGACCCTTCTGGGACCACGCACCTCCCCGTCTCCCCCGGCTGACCTTCAGGAGTCCTCGTTGCTGTGCCCTGTGGGTCGCCTTTCGCAGCAGGCTGCCCCACCCCGCTCCCCACAACCATCCAGGATGAGCGGGGTACTCGGAGACTGACTCATAGGTCCAGGAAATAAATGGGTGTCAGTCTGCCTCGTGGCTCGCTGGATTCACCCCAACATTTGTAGGCTGCGCTGAGCACGTCCAGAGACCCCCGGGGGAGGAGGGTTTACACCTTTCCCAGGCAGGGCTGGTTGGTCATGGTGGACTGTCCACCCACTGAAGCAGGTTGGGGGGTACGGAGGCAGGACCCTCTGGGGAACTGCAGGCACCTGGACCGAGGGTCACATGAAGGGGCGCCCAGGAGGCCCCTTTGCGGGC